GCTATGCAGTAAACCCTCAACTACTGCAATGGTCTATAACCTTCTCCTGCCTCACAATGCCATCCTGGGGTACAGAGAAGTGGAAAAGCTCTTGATATGGGAAAAATACTGCAAAATGGAGCATGTACTTTCAAGCGACTCTATTTAAATTATGAATTGATGGAGAAATTTTCTGAAAGAGAGCAAATTTCTAGATTAGCAGATCCTGAATAATCTTGGGGTGACAAAATTAAACTGTTTGCCCTTAGGGAAAAGTGGGGATCGCAATCAAGATGCATTTAGTCATAGGAAAATAATATTGCATTTCTGCACATCTGAGCCATGGTGTGTAGCTTTTAAAAATCTTTTCATGCTAATATAACTTGTGCAGTGACACAGATCCCGTTGAACATACAATATCTATCATTTTGATGTGTGCCTCTGCATGTCCACATACTGTACCACATTCCACAGTTATAGGGTCAAGGCTAAAAGCAGCAAATGGAAAGACTCACTGTTGTGTTGCATAGCAACACCCCTTCATGAAAATCAAGGACTCTGAAAACTAAACATTCAAAATTATGCGACTTTAGTTAACACTTTGTTTGCATGCAATCTGTTATGTGAGCAATCTTACAAAATCCCAAAAAAGATCAACAGCTTATCCCACATTTGTCCCTACAGACATGCAATGACACAGGGAAATGAGAAAGATATTCCTCTCAACACTGCTCAGAGAATTATGAAGCCTACCTGCATTTTTACCTAATCGGTGAGTAATGATTAAAAATTTGATTTTTCAGTCTCCATTTCCAGAAAGGATGAACTACTTACAGCCCACCCTTGATGAATGCGGCTATAAAACCTAGACAGGATAGATGCAGCAGCTATTTAAAGACTCTGAAATGTAAATCATGGCAGGCAGATTGGAAAGGAAGACAAGCATTCAAAGGACCACTAAACTAGTTGTGAGTTCCACATTTTTATCTCTGGTATCACCTAGCCAGCACCTGGGAGATACCTGGAAGAAGATATTGACTCAGAGAAAACTCCAAAAGAAACTTCTAGCTGAGGCTCTAGGAGTAAAAAAGGAAAGGGAGTTCTGGAAGAAACAGAAAACAGACAGGAGGCTGGAGATATCTTTTCTGAAAGTTTTTAAAGATTATAAAACTAATCAAGTTATATTTCATATTGAGTGAGTTGTAGTAAGTCACAGTTTTTGAGGAAAAGGTCCATTTCATTTAAGCTGTCAGATGTACCTAAAGTTGTTCTGTGGGATCTGTGGTGATGTCCCCTCTTTCATTCCTGATATTGGTAATTTGTGTCTTCTTTTTGTTTTTGTTTTTGTTTTTTCTCCTGGGCCTTGCTAGTTCATCACTTTTCTTAATATTTTCAAAGACTAACTTCTATTCCCATTGGTTTTTTTGTATTGTATATTGATAAATCAGCAAATTAGCTAAATGTCAGAGTCACTAGGCTGGCTTAAAAAGCCAGTTTCAAAAATTACATGCTGTACAATTCCATTTATATGACATTCCGAAAAGACAAAACTATACTGACATAAAATATATTAGTTGTTGCTAGTGGTCAGGGTGAAGTAACCACAAAGAAGCAGCACAAGGCAGGTTTGGGGGGTGAGGAAAATCAGGATACTATCTATATCCTGACTAGGATACTATCTATATCCTGGTGGAGGTCATAAAAATCTCTATGTGTTAAAAAAAACAGAACTTCACACCAACATAAAGCCAATTTTACCATGTTAATTTTAAAAATAAAATTTAATGTCTCTCCTAAGTTCACAGGAGACATAAGACTCTGATTTAAGAAGCCTCTCAATTTAAAAATGATCCTAAATTAAGTAACTAACTAGTTTTTCAATTAAACAAATATTTCCCTTCCTTCATAAACTTGAAGTGACCAGAAAAATAAGTTCAATTATATCTATTTTCAACAAGGTTTTGGGGAAACAAGAATTATCAGGTAACATCTGTGTGAGGACATTGCTGCATGATCCTTAGGTGGGTATTTATCAGAAAGGAGGAAATTTAGACAATGAATAACTGTTGATTCAATGATTCCATTTCTAGGGATTTTTAGTACAGATGTACTTTCACAAGATGCAAGAATGTATATAATCATGTTTATCACAGTATAATTTATAACAACAAAATATTAGAAACAACGTTGGTCTCCATTAATAAATAAGTTTATATACATGCATGCAAACAACCATCAGAAAACCATTTTCTAAGATGAACAATTATGAATTGCTGCATTGAAAAAAATCTCTAAAATTAATTAATAAAAACATGACAAGGTGAAGAACAAGATATAGAAATTGATCTTCTTGTTGTTTATAAAAGGCCTTCTATATGTTGGGGAATTATACACACCCCAGAATAATAAGGATATACAAAATATTCTTGGAAGGATACATAAAATGTTATTAGCAATAATTATTTCTTTGGGGTGAGCTTGGGAACCAAAGGGGGAAAAGAAAAGAAATAATTTTGGTCTTCATTTTAAACATGTCTGAACTGTTTGAAAAAAATCACAAACATGATTTTTTTTAACTAACACTAAAAAAAAAGATGCCACAAGTTTTATTAATCAGGACAGCTGATAGTCAACCAACCTTGGGAAACACCATTCCTGGAAACACCCAAAGTCAGAAAAACCTTAATAGGATCAGAGCAAAGGACCTGAATGTTCATCATTCTCTCTAAGTGAGAAACAGTTCCTCAAAGGAATTATGCAGCCATCGCTTACTGAAAGGTATTAACAGTATAAAAGGATAAAGCTGCCTGAGACTTTGCAACCAGATCCTTTTGATAAGTTCATGGATGAGTCCCAAAAGTTGGACTCGGTTTCTCTGTGTTAACAATGCTTAAGCCCTAGTTGTTTTTTCCTTTCTAGTTTACAGTAAATATTTCCAGGATAAATGTACAAGAACATAGAAATTCTTGCCACTGAAAGACATCATCAATAATAATGAAATTAGGTTTATCATCTTAGGAAAATTACATATTTTTTTGTTCACTAATTTTCTTAGCAATACAACAGGGCACTAGGTGATGGGTGAGACCTGTGCCAGTTCCTAGACTCAGCGAATCACCCTGTCTGGCTTAGAAATTGAATTTTACACAATTCTTTTACTCAGATCCTATCTGTCATTAGATTGAAATTGGTCAGTAGTCAAATGCCAGTCTTTAAACCATTGTTATAAAACATTATACATCATCGGTTTGTTGTTTGTGTTTGCTAAAGACAACATTTTAAAGTAGTAAATTCTTCATAAGTTTTACATTTCTCAGAAAGTTCAAATTTTTTCTTCTATTAAGTGTAGAAATGTCTTTAAAGATAAATTTATATTTTAAAAATGTGCATGGCCTAAGGAGAAAAGGAAAATACTGCATGACATATAAGAACCAAAGCCAAGAGCCACTTAATATAATAGGAAACAGCCTACATATTTTAACATGTATCAACAGAATATCAGTATTGAGCAATTAAGGAATAAAAGCTAAGCTTCATATGAAATCAGCACATTGTACCCCATAAATGCATTAATGTATACATGATCTATGTGTTTATGACTTAATAAAAAAAAAAGCTAAGTGTCAGCCATTTTTTCTCAGACATGTTGGTTCATTCTGATTATCCTGCTTATCATATTATCTGGAACCTCCTGAGACCTCTGTCCTATTATTTCCACTTAGATATATGCCCAACTCTATTCCAGCCTTGCCCCAACTCTGTTCCAGCCTTGCCCTAACAGCCTGGCCCCTGCACTTCCTGCTGCACCTGTGCTCAGCTCAACACACAGAGCCTGATATTAAAAGATGGAAGGGGGAGGGAGGAGAAAAAGAAATGAAGAGAGGGAAGGAGGGACGAGGAGGCAGGAAGAGAGAGCAAAAGGGAAAGGGAGGGAAGGGATCAGAAGAGAGTTAAGAAAGAGGTATGTTGGTTGCTCATCTGTACTCATCGTTCAGTTTCTTACTTCTCCCACCTGAAAATCCTGCCCAGAATAATCTCTTTATATTTGAAAAAGAAAAGAATCCCTTGAATGATGACAAGTGACATAATATGCACTAACTTGATCTCTGATGAGAAACTGATTTATCGTCTACATTTCAGAGCCTTGGGAAAGTTGACACAGAGACATAAATGGATTGGGGGAGGATGTGGCAATGAATTTCTGAGGTGCATTTCAGAAGTTCCAGATTTGCTACAGCCTGGCATGGATGGCCAGGACAAACATCGTGTCACCCAGGACTGCTGGTGAACACCCTTCTCATGGTGCCCCAGGTGAATGATCAGGGATTGGAGAGAGATGTTGTTACCCATGTCAACTTTTCCTAAAGCTCATTAGTTAAAAAAAAGAAAGAAAGAAAGAAAAAAGGAGTTTAGAGCATCAGAGCTTTAAAACAATTACCCAGAAAAATTACTTTTACTTCATTTTTGAGAGTTTGAGAAGCTGAAAGAATAGTACAATATTCTGTAAAGTTAATAGCAAGAGTTTAGTTTCCAAACACACCGGCTTCTTCCATCCCCCTCCAGACTGCACTCCCTCCACTGTGAACCACTTACGAGCAGTACCCACAGTCAGAAGGAACCAGGTCCCTGTCGGCTATGTTTAAGGGATATTTAACCATCTAATTCCAAAGCCCCCATTCAAATATGAAATATGAGGGCAAGATGGTGAAGAAAGGGTAAGACTCAGGAGACAACAGGAGTAATAGTGACTTCCAGGGGTTACCAGGGCCAGACAAAAAGAGAAGACACCCAGCTCTCCTGGAAGAAACCCCACACCCACATAACGCTGCACTCTATACCAGCAATTCTCAACCTGTGGGTCAAAACCCACAGGAACTGTATTAAAGGGTCACAGCATTAGGAAGGTTGAGAACAACTGCTCTATACATTTTTTTTGCCCCAACAGGAGAAAATTTTTCAGGAAATAGACTCTATCTTTGGACATTTTTATAGCAAAATAAAAGCCCCAAATGGACACTTACATTTCATTTGCTTGGAGATGGACTTGTTAGGTTCAAGCCAGTGCTGCAGAGAAAAAGAAAAAAAGCAGAGATCAGGGTTCAAATTGCTGAACTGCACAATGCATGCTTAATACCTAAAAGGAGTTCCAGAGCACAGCCTCGGTTTCCAGGGATACTCCTTGGCGTTCCACCCTCTGAAAACCAACATAAATAACTGGGCAGTAATCATAACCTAGACAAAGTATAAATACAGAGAATTAACATTTTCTGAGCAATATTTGAGTCATCCAGTTGCTAAGTGAAAAGAACAAAGGAGAAAACATGCACTTAAACGGGATGTCAGAGGAGCTCTAGATGACTCCTGGGTGATTCTGTGAACCCCACTGTTCTGGGAAAGCCACAGATGTCTACAGACTTCGAGCACTTGACAACCACGACCATGTCACAGTCCAAGACAGGGGCAGCACCCAGTTCCCCTTCCACGCCAAACTCCTGAAGGTGAACGCTGGCCACACCAGCTTCAGCTCCATCACACCCAGAGGCAAGTCTTCCTTTCCAGTAGGCAGGAACAAATGATCTTAACTATGTTATTTTCAGAGGCCTGAGGTCATCAAGAAAAAAATCAGCTCCAACACAAAACAAAGAAACCAAAAGAGCCGAGGATCTCAGAACCATGTTCCTGACAGGCATTTGAAGCCAACACCATGCTGGTCCTGGGGCTGGCTCTCTCCACAGCAGTACAAAGGTTACTCTGACATGCTGAGAGCCGGGCAGCTTTTGAGATCACTCTCTATGCGGTCACGGAAGCCATTCAAGGAATGTCAGGAAAAATCACTTTGTACACCTGCAGTTTATAAAGATATAAGAGGGGTGCCGCTGAGTACCATCCTGAGGTCAGGAGCCCACATACATGGGGCGCCCCACCTGCTTGATGCTGGAAAAGAAAGAAGAGGCACAAACTAACCACCTGTTGGGTTCTCACACCCCGCTCCATCTCCTCTGGGTCATCCCTCGGGGTCTGTATTGTCACTATTCTTTGATATCAATATAAATATGATATATATTATTTATAATATAAATATAATTCTTTATGTATAATTATAAAGTTTAATAATAGCCAGGGTTTGTTGAGGGATTACTAAGTGCCAACTACCATTCCACTTATAAATGAGAAATCTGGGACTCAGGATGTTAAACAATTGCTTAAGGTCACCCAGCTGTTAAATGGTGAAGCCAGCCATGCAGCAAGAGTCCTGTACGTGGGGCCTTAACCTCTCAGTTATATGGCCTCCTGACTAATAAGTTCACTTTAAAATGCATATTCTCTTTTCTTTTTAACTTTATTATTGTTGGGGATTCACTGACGGTACAAGAAACCAGGTTACGCTGATTTAAAATGCATATTCTCTTTGATGGACTCTCCCTATTTTTCCAGGAACTAAAAAATTGAGGAGTCAAATCAGGATTTTCCAATCTGTGGTGTCGAATCTCTGCAATCTTCAAAAACAGTAATGAGAATCTTTTAACTGCTTCAGCATTATGGAAAGTCTAACAGGAAACACACATTCCCCCTGACCAGATTACATAGACAAGCTGAAAAAGCAAGTTTTGTTGCCACTGGCCACAGTTACATCAACTCATTTGGGGAACCCTAATCATCTCCTTATAATCAGAAATCACATAGCTATAAATAGAACAATCAAAAACTGATTATACCACCTATTAGCTATATAACCTGGTACATCATGTTTAAACTCAGTGTCTCAGTTTCCACATCTATTAAATGGGAACAGTAAGCATACCCACCTCACTGGGCAGTTGTGAGGATTTTAAAAGTCAATAAAGTTAATAAATGTAGTACTCACAGTGCCCCGCATGTGAAAATGGTGTGTAGTGGCTGATGCTGTAGTTGTTACTTAACAGATACAGTTTATTTGGTAGATTGCATCTTTGGAGGAGAATAATAAAAAAGGCCCTCGGTTATTAAATTGCTTTTCTAGAAAAAAATAAACTGAATAATTGAGAAGTAAGGCAGGAAAACAAATAACAGCAACCAGGGATCAATATCTATGGCTATTGTTTCACAAACGAGAGGCACCAATCATTTTTTCAACAAAGGTTGAAATATTTTTTCCAAATTCTCCTTGCTTTCTTTGAACTCCTTAGTCTATCCCTGCCTAACTTCAACCTGACTCTACAACTTCTCTGAGCCCAGGGGTGATAAGTCAGTGTCATGTGGTGTGCTCACACCTGTACTGTAAGGAGGGAGGGTTCCAAGACGGGAGGAAGGCTCAGAGAGCATGAATGCCATGATCTATTGGCTATGTCTGCCATGCCACTATAGATTGGTTATGTCTGCCATGGACAGGGAGAGAAAATGAAGGCATGCCTGCAAGGCATTTGCCATCTGTGCCCTAAATAAGTTATTTGCTCTATATGAACTGGCCTCCATGTTGTCCTAAGAAACACACCTTGTAGTTTCTGATCAGTTCTACCATCCTATTCCTCTCAGCCTATCCATACCTACCTATGTATCTCAGTTACCTGCTTTTTCAATGGGATCACTACAAGCGTCTCCAGCACAATTATTACAGCTACTCTTCCCCAGGAGGATAGTCATGGGGCACAGAGACCTAGGAAAAATAACCCAGCAATAGTCATATTTCAAGGAATTATAGGAAATCATTTCTCCAAAGAGAGCCAAGTTCAATATGTCAGTATTTATGAAAAAAAAAAAAAAAACCTGATTGGCCTATGGCCCATGTGCCCACGTGAACAAAGAGGCACATAACAAGGATTTTCACTACCAGATTATATAGAATTATGAATCATTAGAAATTAGAAATGACATTAATGGGTATCATCAAGAAAATGGATAAATAAACTGTGGACCACAGTTTCATGTGTTCATATTCTGGATGATTCTGGATGGATGTTTTTTTATATATATAAGGTAGATCTTTATGTGTAAAGGACAGATCTCTCAGGCACACTGTAGAATGAAAAACATGAACTGCAAAATGTATAACTATGGCTGAAACTAGTTCCCAATTGTACAGGGAAGCACCCCAGGGACACGCAGCCATACTAGACATCTGTCAGGACCATGTGAACTATGAACTCTGGGGAGTACACAGTCCTAGTGTTAGATTATGCTATATTCCTTTGATGTCCTACTTTTTTTTTTTTTAACAAAGATGGGTTTACAGCGGTTGCTATGATAAAAAGCAAGCACCACACAGAAATAATTGTGCGACAGACAATGAACATGGTGGTGTCCAACAGGATCCCAGTCATGCCCCACAGGCACACACTTCCAATCATGAAGAACTTGTGGTTATTTAAGAACTAACTGAAGTTACTGTTTTTCTTGCAATTTATGTGCATAGTGTTTTAAATGGCTACTAAGTTGTTAGAACATAAATATTCAGGAAATTATTTGGACCTAACTCTCATTAGATAGAACCTTAGATGTGTTCTTGACCTGTGAACACCATGACATAATAAGGTACTAAGAAATCCATAAATCAGGAAAGTTTAGAAAGCTTTGCACTACTATGTAGTATATCATACAATTAATATGCTTCTTTTCTAACAAAAAGTACAAACGCTACTATATATCCAAAGAATGCACCTATAAGAATCTAAACTCATTTTTAAAAATCTGAAATTGATACATACTAAAATGATAGCAGTGAAAGAGGATAGGAGGTGTAGAGGCACAAAGTTAGGGGTATTGGTCAAAGAGAACTATGACTTCCATATTTTCTGTGATGTTTTAACTTTAACCTTTTTATTTATTTTTTTACGATAGCTTTATTGAGATATAATTGATACCATGAAATCTGCCCTTTTGATGTAATTCAGTGGTACTTGGTATATTCAGGGTTGTGTGGACATCACAACTACATAATTTCAGGACATTATCAACACCCCAAAAAGAAACCCCATAACCACAAGCTGTCGCTTCCCATCCTTCAACTCCAACCCCCTGCCAGAGCCTGGCAGACATTAATCTTTCTATTTCTATGGATTTTTCTATCCTCAACATTTCATTTTTTTGTTTTCTTATTGGTTTTTCTGTTTGTTTGTTTGAGACTAAGTCTCACTTTGTTGCCTTGGGTAGAGTGCTGTGACATCATAGCTCACAGCAATCTCAAACTTTTGGGCTCAAATAATCCTCTTGCCACAGCCTCCTGAGTAGCTGTGACTACAGACGCCTGCCATAATACCCAGCTAGTCTTTCTGGTCTTAGTAGACACAGGGTCTTGCTCTTGCTCAGACTGGTCTCGAACTCCTGAGCTCAAGCAATACTCTTGTTGGCCTCCCAGAGTGTTGGGATTATAGGCGTGAGCTACTGAGCCAGCATATCCTGAACATTTTTGGATAAATGAAATAGTACATAAGTAGTCTTTTGTGTTTGGATTCTTTTATGTTTTCAAGGTTCATCTGTGTTGTAACATGTGTCAGAACTTCATTCCTTTTAAGGGTGTATAATAGTCCATTATGTAAACATACTACATTTTGTTCATCAGTTAATGAACATTTGGTTATTTTTACCTTTTGTCTATTATGAATAAGGCTACCACGAACTATCAGGTACAATACAGATTTTTTTTTCCTTTGGTGGGGACATGTGCTTTTAATTCTCTTGGATATATTCTTGGGAGCAGAATTGCTGTATCACATGATAACTCTATTTTTAACTTTTCGAGGAACTGCCAGACTGTTTTCCAAAGTGGCTATACCATTGTTCATTCCCACTAGCAATGGATGAGGGTTCCAATTTTAGCACATCTTCACCAACACTTGTTATTGTACCTCCATTAGGTCAGAACCATACATTATAAAAATTATAGGAAAAAATGCTCCTTGAAGATCTACTGTCTACTTCCTTCACGTACTTGCACTGAAATATCTTCCTTATATATGTTTCTTGCAAGCTTATGCATGTAAATCCAGTTACTGGGGCAAGAGAAGCCTCTTCATGGCTACACTTTTGCTACTTCCTTTGAATTCTGGTTAGAGTCACTGCTCCTCCCCATCTTCACCAGGAAGATGGAG